GGCATCCGGGGTGGGTGCCTGTGTCTGGGCTGGGCATCCCTCCTGAGGTCAGTGATTGAAAGCTCCAGGTGTGCTGGTCTGGGACACAGAGAATTGTGCTTGGGAGCTGCCTGGCCACCTGTCTTGGCCTGGGCACCGTGGGGTGGGGTCCCTGCCTGGGGAGGGGAAACCCGGGCCTGGGAGAGCTGACGGGGCACGAGGTGGAGAGTCTGAGGCCAAGAGGGGCCACTCCTTCTGGGACAGGGACACATGTGTGAGGGGCTGGGGCCGGGCAGCACCTGGAGCTGCTCCCAGAGCCTTCTTGTCTCAGACACCTTGGGCCTGTGTCTGAGTGTCTTCCACCTGGTCCCCGAGTCCAGCCCTGCTGGTCTCTCAACACCCGTGCTGTGGGCTCCAGCTCACCGAAGTCTCCCAGCCTCCTGTCCATGTTTCACTCCCAGTGCCAGCAAGAGACAGCCCTTGGCCTCCATGTGTTCACTGATGGGCCTTATTCCTCTGTCCACACTCCATGTGCCACTCCAGATGGCTTGCCCTGGCCCTGGTCCCGCCACCACTCGAGGAAGGGGTCATAGGGAAACTCCGTCAAATAAAACCCCAAAGGAAAACGCTGAAGCAGGGATTTTGTTTTCCCACTCTGGGGCAGAAAGGCCAGATCCCTCCTGAGCCTCCTCCTGGTAGAAACCACTAGCAAGGTGGCTTTCACAAAACCCTTCCAAACCCCCTGCCTAAGACTGGTAAGAAGGAGGAGGCCGGCACCCTGTCATGCTTCCCCCGGGGCCCCCCCTCCCAGAGTGGCCTTCAGCTTCCGACTGCTGCAGGTGTGGAAGGGCCTGTCCAGAGCGGGGGCCACCTCGAGGCCTGCCTGACCACAGGCTCCTCCTCAGTGTCGGGCCAGACCACTGGAGCCCCAGGCGTAGCAGCCCTGGGGTCCCAGCCACCTGGGGTCTTGGTCTGAGGGGCTCTTGGGGTGTAAGACTCTCAAGCACTGGTGAAAAGCTTGCCTGTGCTTCTTGGGAGCCCACGTGCAGAGCCAGGCGGGAGCCGGCGTGCAGTTAAACGCGAACACAGGAAAGCAAGCCAGGCCGGCCTACGAGGGCCAGGCTGCAGGGCTGTCTCCCATCACCTCCCCATGCCCCCCCATCTCTGGCCCTCCAGCTCCCCCACGCCACTTGGCATTAGCCCCCCGTGTCCCCTGTGGTGTGGCCCCCAGAGAGGGCTGAGAGGAGGTTGCTCTGCTTTTGCACAGCACTCTCCGCCCGCCGTGTGTCATTATGTTTTAACCCTTTTACCCATTTGAAAAAAAAATGCAGCTTGCTGCCTCATTCATGTAATTTCCCATAAACATACTCTGAGGATGAAGCCAATCTGACTGGTTTTCCATGTGAAAATAGAATATAAAAACTGTTCTTGAAATTCTTTTCTTTTTTTTTTCTGAGTTGGAGTCTCACTCTATCACCCAGGCTGGAGGGCAGTGGCACATTCCGGCCACTGCAGCCTCGACCTGCTGGGCTCCGGTGATCCTTCTGCCTCAGCCTTCCAAGTAGCCAGAACTACAGGCGTGCCCTACCGTGTCTGGCTATTTATTTATTTATTTTAGAGACCAGGTCTTGCCAAGTTGCCTGGGCTGGTCTCGAACCCACGTGCTCAGGCAATCCACTCTCCTCAGCCTCCCAAAGTGCTGGGATGACAGGCTGAGCCACCGAGCCTGGCCTGGAGTTATTTCTAAATAGAACTTGTCTCTAATCCTAATGAGAATTAATTAAAAAAAAAGAGAGTTGTGCTGGGTGCAGGGGCTCCCAAATCCCAGCACTTTGGGAAGTTGAGGTGAGAGGATTCCCAGCCTTCGGGGGGCTGGATGGGGAAGGGACCTGGGGTCAGTCCCTGAACTCGCAAGTTTGAGACCGGCCCAGGCAATTTGGCGAGAACTCATCTCCACAATAAATCAAAAAATTAGCCGAGCATGGTAGCTCATGCTGTAGTTCTAGCTACTTGGAAGGCTAAGAAGGGAGAATCACCTGAATCCAGCAGGTCGAGGCTGTGGTGGCTGTGAGCATGCCATTGCATTCCAGCCTAGGCAACAGAGTGAGACTACAACTGAAAAAAAAAAAGAAGAGAATCACTGTATGTTGTAATTCTTTTTCTCTGTTTTTTAAAAATCTCAGGGTAAACGCTGCAGTCATGAGCACTGCTGGCGCGTATCCTTGGGTTAACCAGGGAAAGTGTTAAAATGTGATACTTGAAACAGACTCGGGGGTCTTTCTGTGAGTCAGGGCTCCCCTCAACAGAGCACCTCCTGCACCCTCCCCGTGGGCTCTGCTGCCCCCCAGGGCTTGTTCCCTGTCATTTTAACAAAAATTCCTCGCCACAAGTGTGCACTATTTGTAGAAGTGTATTAGAAGCGAATATTTTCAACATGGAGAGAAAACACAAAGTGACACCCGTGTCCTGATGATTCTGTGGGGGCAGGTGGGGGTGTGTGTGGTGGGACTGTGGCTCCCCTCCAGCCAGCCCTGGGGTGTCCTGGTATCCAGCCTCCTCCGGCCCCTCCTGAGCAGCCCCCAGGCTGGTTGGGGCCCAGGCAGGCAGGCAGGAGGTCCCAGGAGGGGAGCAGCCTTCGGGGGGCTGGGTGGGGAGGGCACCTGGGGTCAGTCCTTTGTAAGCCTAGAGGGGTGTGCCACGGTCAGCCTGAAGGGGCCTCCAAGCATCGGTGGGCCTGGCTTGTGGTCTCAGGCTGTCCCTCGAGGTGGTGTGTGGGGCTCCCAGGCCCACCCATGGGTGACCTTGACCTCTGCAGCCCCTTCCCCTGTTGTCCACTGGTGGTCTCCCAGCCTGGCCTGACTCACCTGCTCCCACCAGAGATGGGCTTTCCCCTCTTGCTATAAGACATCCTCATGGGACAGGGCCCACTCCAAGATGCTGCAGGACCCCCAGCACTGTGAGCCCTGGGCCCCCCGAGGCGGGTGCCTGCCCCTGTGTGGGGGACTTGGGCCTGCCAGTGGCAGTGGGAGTGCTTCCTGGACACGCTGCTGTGGCTGGGGGAGCAGGCCTAGTGGGTCGGGAGGCGCTCCCCACCACAGGGGCAGGGCCAGAATCATGTCCAGGGCTAATGGGCTGGGCAGGGGCATGGTGATGTTTGGGGCTGACCTCTGCCCTTGTGGGTGCCCCATGTGCCATGTGGCTGCCCCAAAGACCCTTTGGCCATGCAGGGCTCGGGGAGCTGAGGGTGGCTGGGGGAGGTGGCTGTAGGGGCAGGACCTGGCCAGCTGCTCCCGGGAACGCTGAGGGCTGTGGTCGGGTGGGGGCTCTAGAACAATCCTCAGCGTGGCCGCGGGCAGAAGACTTGCTGGGAGGGGCCCGTATGGGGTCTGGGGGCATGGGGACTGGGGTAGTGCTCAGGGGCCCCACATGTGTGGGGACCCGTGGGAGCCAGACCCTGCCTGAGAGGGACAGGGCCAGAGGAGTAGACTGTGGCCCTGAGGGCTTGGCCTCAGTGGGTGTGTGAGGGAGGGTGGGTGTGAGGGTGTGTGTGCGTGTGTGTGAGGATATGAATGTGGTATAGAGCAGTGGGTGTGTGTGAGGGTATGTGCATGAGAGGGAGTGTGTGGGTGTGTGTGAGGGTGTGAGTGTGTGGCTGGGAGACCTGCAGGGAGGGGCCAGTGTGTGGGTGTATGTGTGAGCATGTGTGAGTGTGAGGGTGTGAGTTTAAGGGTATGTGAGGGTGTGTGAGTGTGTGTGAATGTGTGTGTGTGAGGGTGTGTGAAGGTGTGAATGGGTGTGTGTGAGGGTATGAGTGTGGGGTAGTGTGTGTGTGTGAGCATGTGAGGATGTATATGTGAGGGCGTGTGAGTGTGTATGGGAGGGAGGGTGTGTGTGAGGGTGTGAGTGTGGAGCTGTGAGTGTGGGTGTGAGAGTTTGTGTATGTGCGCAAGAGGGTGTGTATGTGAGGGTGTGTGAGTGTGCGCATGTGTGAGTGTGAGGGTATGTGAGGGTGTGTGAGTGTGTGTGAATGTGTGTGTGTGAGGGTGTGTGAAGGTGTGAGTGTGGGGCTGTGTGTATAGGCGTGAGGGTGTGGTTGGGTGTGTGTGGACAGGTCTAGTTGCTCGCTGCTGTCGGTGTCCAGGGCCACATGTGTGCCTGCCCCCAGGTTTCCCACATGCTGTTGTGTGTTGTGTGTCTGTGTGGGGCTTGGCATGTCTGGTGTGGCCCTGGGTGCAGGGTTGGGTGCCTGAAGTCAGACTGGGCTCTCTGGGCTCCAGGGACACGCTGGCATGCCAGCCCCAGTTGTTTCTGTGATGTGACATGTGAGTGTTTGGCTCTGGTGTGGAGGTCTCTGTGGGCCATGAGGCCATGGGTCCAAGTGTGTCTGGTGTGAGTGTCTTGCGCAGGGCTGTGGCTGTGTGATCCCCAAGGAGGTGTGGTTGGGCATGTCTGTGTGTCTGCTGGCCAGTGTGAACACGTTTACCTGAGTGACCACACGTGCCTGTATGTGAGTCTGTGAGCTTTGTGGGCATATCCTTATGTCAGCGCCAGTGTATGTGCATGTGCCTCCGTTGTGTCTACGTTAGTGTAGCTCTGTGATCTGTTTATGTTTTTGTCTTTTTGTGTGTGTTTCTGTGTGCCTGTGTGTGTCTGTGCTTGTGTATCTCTCCGTGGTACATGTCTGTGTGTGTGTCTGTTTGTCTCTGTGTGTGTCTGTGCTTGTGTATCTCTGTGTGTCTATCTGCATCTCTCTGTGTATCTCTGTGTGTCTTTGTTTCTGCATCTCGCTGTGTATCTCCGTGTGTCTCTGTGTTTCTGCATCTCTCTGTGTGTCTCTGTGCTTGTGTATCTGTGTGTCGGTTAATCTGCGCCTCTCTATAGATCTCTATGTGTCTCCATGTGTCTCTGTGTGTCTCTTTGTGTCTCTGTGTGTCTATGTATCTCCATCTCTCCGTGTGTCTGTGCTTGTGTATCTCTGTGTCTGTGTGTGTCTGTGTATCTGCATCTCTCCGTGTATCTCCATGTGTCTCTGCGTCTGTTTGCCTCTTTCTGTGTATCTCTGTGTCTCTGTGTGCCTGTGTCTGAGGGTCGGCACAACTCTGTGGGAGCCCATATGTGCAAGGAGGCCCCCCGGCCCCTGTCACTCAGCTGCCACACCCTGGGGTCTTAGGAGACCCCTCCCTGAGATCAGAGTCCTTTTCTGGGTGGGGGACACAAGCATCGACCTTCCCCTGGCAGGCTGGGGTGGGGGTCTGCCTGCACGGCCAGGACACCCAGCCGGGGCACCCCCACGGGGTCTCCACTGGGCGGTGGGCAGGGCAACCATGTGTGGGACCCATGGCAGACGGGGCTGGGGTGGGGCAGGTCTGCACCAGGTGGCCTTGTGGGGTAGTCCAGGGGTCCCGAGGCTGGGGTGGACTGGGTGACCCCAGAGCTGCTTGCTGAAGGTGTCTGTGTGACCAGGTCGGGCATGGCAGGGAAGAAGAGTGGGTGGCAGGTGGGCTGCACCCAGGCCGGAGCTGGGGTTTGCTGGGACCCGGCTATGGGTTCAGAGCTCTGACCCCGGGGACCCTTAAGGCCCACTTCCCTGAGTGCCAGGGCTCCCACCCAGGGGCCTCCTCCCAGCTCTCCCTTGGGCAAGGTCCGACTTGGTGTCCCCTCCACCAGGCACTCCTTTCAGAAGCACCTTTGGGGCCTGGTCACTAGGGGCCTGGCCACTGTCCCGGCCGGGCTTTGGGGGGTAGCTGGGGGGTGAGTGGTCAGGAATGCTCCACGCCAGCCCCAGTGCCAGCCTCCCCTCCCCCAAGGCAAATGGTTGTCTCAGGGGGGAATGGGGATTTCCACCCTCTGCCCCACCTGCACTGTGGTTCCCGTTTTCGGCATTTTTAGAAATATTTGCAAGAGCATGTTTGTGTCTGCATGCTGGGTGGGTGTAGGAGTTGTGGCCCAGCGCCCACAGGGCCTTGTTTGTCAGGCTGGGCTGTGTGGAGGAGGGGTGTGGGCCCTCCCAGGGCAGCGAGGGTCCTGGCTGGGCCCCCAGGGGGTGAGGACCCTGTGACTGTGTGGAGCTGAGGCCAGGTCCTGTCCTTGGCCACAGGACCTGAGGGGCCCAGATGCCCGTCCGGAGCGTGTCCAGGGCCGGGCTTCACATAGGGCCAGGTCCCAGGCTCGGTCAGTGACTGCTTGGAAACTTCCAGAATCACAGTCTTCCTGAGTTGAGGAGCATGGGAGACGTGAGGCTGACACAGAGGAAGGCCGAGGGACCCCCGGCCTCCTGCTCCAGTGCCTCACTCACATGCACACATGACACACATAAACACACGCATGTGCACACACACTTGCTATGGCTCCCAGCTGGCCAGAGTGTCCTTGTGCTGCGGTCCCAGGTGTGCTGACATGAGCCGACCCTCAGTGCGGCCCGTGCGCCCTGTTCCCAGGCCCCGCAGCTCCATGGGTGGTGTCCTGGGTGACAACCTGATCTCAGTGCTGCAGAGCTGGTGTGGGGTGTGAGGACTGAGGCTCTGGGAGCCTCTGACTCCACATGCCACAGCCAGGCCTGGCACCACCACACGTGTGTGTGTGCTTGTCAATGTCTGGGTGCATGCATGTACGAGTGTGTGAGTACATGGGTGTGTGAACATAGGCATGTGTGAGCACGTGAGTGTGGAGTGAGTGGCGTGTGAGCAGCCTGTGCCGGTGTGTATGGGCGTGTGGTGTGGACAGGTATGCAGTGGGCCTGGCTTATCACACACACCCAGCACCAGGCCTCTGTTCACTCTCCTGGCTCCCAACATCCAGGCCAGGGACTGACAGGCAGGTGGTGGTCAAAGCTGTTTTCAGCAGGCTTGACCTGGCTCTGGGCAGGGGGAGGCAGGGTCTGGAGGACGGTCTTGGGGAGATGGAGGTGTGTGTTTTGTGTGTGTCTCTATGGGTGTCTGTGTGTGTTTCTGTCTGTGAGTGTTTCTTTGTCTATGTTTCCCTGTGCATGCCCCTGTGTGTGTTTCTGCGTGTGTCTGTGTTTGTCTCTGTATGTGTCTATGTCTCTGTGTGTTTCTTTGTGTGTCTCTGTTGTGTGTCTGTGTGTCTTGGTTGTTTGAGTGCATGTCTCTGTGTCTGTGACTGTGAGTATCTCTGTGTGTCTTTGTTTCTCTTGTGTGTGTCTCTGTGCATGTTTGGGTGTGTGTCTATATCTTTGAATGCCTCTCTGTGTGTGTCTGTGTGTGTCTATGTGTGTATGTCTCGGTGCATGCCTGTGTGCCTGTGTCTGTTATGTGTCTATGTATGTCTCTCTGAGTTTCTGTGTGTCTGTGTGTGCACCGTGTGTGTCTCTGTGTGATTGTGTCTCAGTGCACATTTGTGTGCATATCTATGTCTGTGCATGTCTCTGATGTATGGGTCTGTGTTTCTGTGTATCTCTAGGTCTCTGTGTGTGTCCATGTGTGTGTCTCTGTGTGTTTATATGTGTATCCATGTGTGTCTTTGTGTGTTCATGCGTGTCTCTGTGTGTCTGTATGTGTATATCTGTGTGTGTCTCTGTACATGTATGCCTATGTATATCTGTTTGTGTGTGCCTGTGTGTGTCCGTGTGTGTGTGTTTCTCTATGTCTGTATATGTGTGTCCTTGCATGGCTGTGCCTATTCATGCGTGTGTGTGTGTGTGTGTCAGGGTGCTGTCTATGCGGGGGTCTCCCAGTGCAGGTGGTTTGCTCAGACACTCTGGGTACCAAGCCCTAGACTCCCAGCCCCCTGCAGGCCCAGCCTTGGGGGGAGCGGGTGACATGTGGGCCTGGAGCCCTGACCGTGTGAGTGGGGGAAGGGCAGGGTGGGGTCCCTGTGACTCAGCTTCAGGGAACTGGGCCCAGATGTGGACAGACACTGGCCTGCAGCCCCCAGGGCCTCATGCTGGCCACTTGCTCCGAGGGAGGTGGGGGCAGAGACACAGGATGGCAGAGACAGAGATGCCAAGGAGAGAGGTGGAGGTGGAGGGGGACACAGAGTCCCAGAGACCTGTTGGCACAGGCCTTGTGCCCAGGGCCACCCCAGAGGCCATGTCCGGCAAGGGTCCCACTGCCACATCTCACACCCTACATACCATCTATCCACACACGCAAAACATAGCAACACAGACACCCACACCACACATTCACACACTTGGACAAACCCACATACAGCCTCAACATCCAACCCACACACCTTCTGTACACAGGCACACACATGTTCATAGGTGAACACAGACACACACAAATGAACGCATACACACCCACACACTCTCACATCACACTCTCACGCTCACCCACACACAACTCCACACACTCTCACACACACTCATACCCTCACACACTCATCCACCCCCACTCACACACACAGATACTCTCGCACTCACCCACTCTCACATTCACACCTGCAGACTGTCGCATCAGAACACATGCATGCCCTCCCTCCGGGGCCCTGGGCTTGGGGAGTCACCGAGGCTCTCTTGGGCCTGGCCACCGCCTCCGGGCCAAACGGCATGTCTGAGCTCTGGGCCCACCAACCCAACCACTCGCCTGAGTGTGCGCATCACATCCCACCTCAGGCGTCCCGTTTGGGAGGTGGGCACATGTCCTCTGCTCGGGACTGGCTGGGGGCGCGGGGCCCACCCAGGACCTGGTTAGGGAGCAAATGGGCAGAGGTCAGGGCAGCTGGCGGCGGCTGGGAGTCCTGGGCAGGGCTGGGGGCACGTCTGGGGGTCAGGCAGAGCAGCACGGCCCACCTGCACCCTCAGGCCTGGCTCCCAAGGTCACTGGGATGCCCTGCTCCCCTCCACCCTGTTCCCAGTGGCTGTGCTGTCTGGAGCAGGCCTCTGAGCCTCAGGGCAAACAGACCCACAGGGGACCCTGAACACAGGGCTGGGGAGGAAGGCTGGGTTGGGGACAGGCAGGACCGGGACCCTGAGGTGCTGCAATTCCAGTCGTGGAGGCTCAGGTCCGGAGCTGCCTCAGGTCCCCAGGAGGGGCTGCATAGCAGGGGACAGTCAGAGAATGACACAGACAGCAGGTGCAGCCTGAGGAAAGGACGCACGTGGGAAGCCCACGGGGTGAGGGTGGGGTTGGGCAGGTGCAAATCCCAGGGAGCCTGGAGGTTGGCGTCTGTGGGAAGGGGCGTCCTGGGGCTGCCTGGGGTGGCCAGGCTGGCAGGTGACATGGGTGGGAAGCAGTGGTGAGGGGTGACTTGGCTAGTGGGGACCCCTGGTCTGGGGACCTTGGTTCGGCTTTGGTTGAGCCTCACTGAAAGTGGCTGCCTGTGGTGGAGGCCTGGGTCCAGCTGGTGGGAGGAGTGGGGTGGAGGTGGCAGAGCATCGTGACTCCATGGGCCATGGTACTACGGCTTGGGCAGAGGAGACTGGCGTGGCCCACTTCCCTTGGGCACTGGCTCAGCCCCATGCGTGGCCCTGCAGGCCCCAGGGCCTCATGCCGGCTACATGCTTGAGGGGCCCTCTGAAATACTTGCTTTGAGGACTCTGGGGACCTGGAGGCCTTGGGTGTGTGTGTCTGTCATGCTAACTATCTGATAGAGGGCTTAGCACACACCTGTCTTGTTCCGGTGCAAGAACCTTGACACTGCAAGACCCCTCTGTGAACCTCTAGTGTTGCCCACGAAAGATGCGGAAATTTTGGATCCCCATCCTGTCACTCCAGGTGACGACTCAGCATCACTGTCCCTGCCTGGGTCCATCCTCTTTCCCTGTGAGGGAGGCCCAGACTCACCCCACACCACACCCAGACTCACCGTGGACATACACAGGTGGGCTCCCCAGTGCACACCCTTGTTACGGCCCTGCGACCTCTAAGGGCACCAGCTGTTTGTCCCCAGGATTCCCACTCTGACCCCTACCCCATCCTGCTGAAGCTAAAGTGGCCCTGGGCAGTGGACATTCTGGGCATCGCTTCTCCTTGCTCCCGTGGTGAGCCACTGGCCTCTGTGGCACTCCTGGAACTGCAGGGCCAGTGTGGGCCCAGGCCTGGCAGATCCTGTCCCCAGGTGAGCCCACATGGAGCCACGGGGCTTGGGGAAGAGCCAGACAGGGTGCTGCTGGCACTGAGATGCTAAGTCCCAATATGGGGACCAACCCAGGGACTCTGTGTCCCGAGGGTGTCACAATGAGATCCCAATTTCCTGCAGTGCTTCTCCACATGTTAGGGGAAACCTTCTAGATGGAGGACGCCCCCTCTGCTGGGTGGTTGTGAGCACAGGTCACACAGGAAAGCACACAGTTGTTAATGCCTGCTCCCTGTTCAGGAACACAGGAGGAGGTTGAGATAAAGATAGAGACAGTGAGAGACACAGAGACAGGCACACAGAAAGACAAAGAGAGAGAGACTGAGAGATACAGACAGAGAGATGAGAGAGACAGAGAAAGAGAGAGACAGACGGAAATAGACAGAGACAGAGAGATACACAGAAAGAGAGACAGGGAGTACAGAGACAGAGTGAGACAGTGAGAAATGGAGATAGAGTGAAAGATAGTGTAAGAGAGAGAGACAGAAGGACAGAGACAGAGGCAAAGAATGAGACAGAGACAGAGTCAGAGAGTGAGAGACATAGAAAAGCATAGTGTGATAGAGACAGAGAGAGAAAGAAACAGAGAGTAAGAGACACAGAGAGTGAGAGAGAGAGAGGAGAGAGAGAGAGACAGAGACAGAGAGAAACAGAATCAGAGACAGAGATATAGAGAGAGACAGAGAGATAGAGTCAGAGACAGAGTTAGAAAGAGAGAGAGACTAGTGAGGGAGAGACAGTGAGAAAGAGACAGAGAGAGACAGAGTGTGAGAGAGAGACAGAGACAGACAGAGATGGTGAGAGACAGAGACAGAGAAGCAGGAACATGGCGACAAAAACCGGCAGATGGGGGTTGGCAGCAATGGAGAGAGTAGACAGTCAGAGACACTGCCAGTAGGGAAGAGACAGATTCAGGAAGGAAGTTCAGGGCGGCCAGAGACAGGAGTGTGGACAGAGCTAGGGGCAGGGAGGCCATGGCTTGGAGGTGCGGGGCCAGTGGCCATGACCGTGTGGCCTCGAGTCATCTCCCTGTCCTGCCAAGACCTGGTGTCCTCTGCAGATGGGGGACCACCAGGACTCGGGGTGGGAGGCAGGGCCTGGGCCAGGTAGACCCCTCAACAGTAGGGTGTCCAGGGCCTGGGCCACCAGGGTCACTTCTGCTCATTCCCTGGGGCTCTGGGCTGGGTGCTGGCCAAGGGACCTGCTCCTCTGTGACCTCCCTCCAGCTCTGGGGCTTGTGATCCTCACGCCAGCCTGGGCGCTGCCCCCGGGAATGGGCCACAAAGATAGGGATGAGTTGGGAAGCACTGACTTCAACACAGTTGGGATTTGCAGGATGGTCCCCTTGGACGCCACTAACCCCCGCGGGCCTGCTCTGGGGGAGGGGCAGGATCCCCGCTCCCAAGACCGAGGCTGGCCTGGCTACACGTGGTGGATGGCGGCTGCAGGTGGCGAGGCGTGTGAGCTATTTCTGGAAACAGCCTCAGAGGGTGCGAAACATGTTTTTCCGTGTGGAACAAACAGCCATTTGCATGAGCCCTGGAGGGCCCAGTTGGCCCAGAATGAGTAACTCACGTTGAAACTGAGACCAGACCGCACACCTGCCTGGGGGAGGGGATGGGGATATGAGTGGGGCCTGGCGTCTGGCCCAGGGACCCCAAACACATAGCCCCTGCCCCCCAGCCCCCCGTGGTAGTGACTCCCTGTGTCCCTCTTGGAGCACCCACAGGACCCCTGGGAAGCCCCCAGCAGCCCTCAGGCACGTCCCACCCAGCAGAGAATTGGAAACTCAGCAGGGGAACCTTTGGACATTGAAGCCTGGTGCCCTGGGGTCTGGGCTGGGTGGAGGGAGGGGGCAGAGGTGAGACCCCTGCTGACCCTCAGGACTCACAGGTACTGGAGGCGGGGGCGCCTGCCAGCAGAGAGTGGGAACCCCGGGACTGCTTGCGCCACTGGGGGCCTTGCGATGCCACTGCCACGGGGGTGACATGGCCCGTGATGACCCAGTCCTGGTGGACACTTGAGT